TTCCGCTACTACTACTTTATTTGAACTTGGGTTGTAATAACTTTTAATTATACTCCAATGGATGGTAATGTATTTGTGATCTCTATATAATATGTGGCATATATGTTGAATCATGTACGATCTTGGTTGTATGTTGGCGATGAAACGAGACCTTTCGTGGTACTGCCGGGTTTATATGGGCTCAAGTATGAAAGTGCGACCACTTAGCGGGCTGCTATTGTACTTGTACTCTTATAAAATAGACGGTTCTATCACAATTAGCGGCTTTGGCTAAGCCAAATAGATAGCAATGGTTCTAGCTACAACAGCAATAATTGGCAATATCATAGTGGCAATGCCCTACGAGCTAATTGGTCCACTATATACAAACAACAACAAAAATAGCGGTGACCACATTTAACATATATAATGAAAGTACTTAAACATAATTTTATTAAATCCAACTTGTATATACAAAAGACCAAACACCACATTACATTCATCTCTATTCCTAGCTTAAGTTGTGTTTAAGGCCTAATTAATGCAACCTAAGGTTGGTAGTACAAGCAACTAATCAAATCCAATGCTGCAACCTCCAGTCACATTCAGCAAAAGAAAATTCTCGAGGGGTGGCGCATGAGGGAAAAATACCTTTCTCAGTGATAGATAGATTTTTTTAATAATTTTGTATCTACCATAATTTTCTCTATTCAGTATCGGTGAGAGCGTTGAAGATAAAAGTACTACAGGACACTTATTTTCTCAACTACCCCATCCAGGTAAAAAAACACTTCAAATTGTATTATTCATGACGTTTGCGAAATACTTATAACACAAATATACACATGCAACTAGTTTTCAAACTAATAATTAATTTTTTTTGGTATTTGTAGCTTTTAAGTCTAACAAAAATCTGAGATACACGATATGTTTTTTTTTTCCGTGATCGGAGCCTCAGTTCATTGGAGTCAACTTGTCAAACTATAGTAGGGAGACAAACGAGGAACTAGTTGTAGCAAGAAACGCTAGCATCATCTTTGACCACTAGCTAGAAAATAATTAAAGCAGAGGGGGCTAGTATCTTTTGTTGTACGTACAAACAACACCGCCATCTGCATCTCAGAACGTATTCTGCGTTACTCCATCCATCCTTAAAAAAAAGACTCATTCTCATTTCCCAAAAAGTTCACAATTTTTAACTTTGACCAAATATATTTAATCAAATATTAATATTTATAGCACATAATTATTATCATTAGGTAGATTGTTGAATATATTTTCATAATAAACTTAATTGGAGATATAAATGTTGCACACATTTTCTATAAACTTAGTTGTTTGACCCGCACGATTCTCGTAGCGACTCGTTTTTAGGGACTGTGGGAGTACTCCACTGTTGGACCTGAATGAAACATGCTGGTGCATGTTGTTTCTAATTTGGTGCTATACAGTAAACGTACCATTAGAAGCTAGCTCCAGCCCAGTTAAGTAAAACTCCGAAACCACTTTTTTTTAATCCATGTTGACGAGGTGTTACCGTGTTAGGCTGTTAGCTGGCTAGTCGGCGTCATACCGGTGTTGCGATGGCTCTTAGAATAGGTCGATTGGCTCACCAGTCACCACACAGTACACACATGCACCTATCACTATTCATTTCATACCATGGTTGCTCGATCAGCCCAACAGTAAGGCGGATGTGATTGGGTCAGCTGTCATGTACTCCTAATTAAGTGTCGGTTGGGGCGCTAACTATCTAACTATTTCTTTTGAACTAACCTTGTCTCCCCATTTATTGATTGATATGTCTGATGAGCGGTGTCTTTGATCACCAAGTCATTTACAAAACTCGGGACGGGGGTCTGTCCAAATCACGGAAAAAAGTTATGTACGGACCGTCCACACCTTGCAGCACGCGGACTACAAATCAAATTGCGCCACGTAGGAGAGAATCACGAGCCAACACGGTGGTGCCAGAAAAAATTCTATGCAGCTTCCGTGCATACACGCTTCCATCGACCGCCACGTGTCCATCTAAAGGGAATCGACGTCTGTCGTTTGCTCCTCAGCCGCGCTTCAGCCTACTGGGCTCCCGTGCTTAGGTCCACTAGGCTCCCATGCAGCCAGCCGCTGGAAACACCTGCCGTCAGATGCAGACAGCGCTCACATGGCAGCCATCCGGTGTACGGTATGCATGACTCCATGGTGGATACTGGAAGGTGCCGCATGGTGATGAGGAGGTCCACTAGTCAGAATCGCTCTACGTCCGCACCATGCAGGGTGTGGACGATCCGTACGTAATTTTTTTCCCCAAATCACAATATAACCTAGTTCCAACCTGATCCCAACCGGGCCAACTCATGAGCACAAAGATTACATGCATGGGCGAGAATGAAATATCTGCGTGAATAAAATCAAGGGTTATTTGGATTTAAGCCATTACAATTTTCATGTTTTGGAGATTTACCATTACAATTCATCTAATAGGAAATTTGCCATTACAATTGTTGAACTCGTCGATAATTGCCATTATGGACGTATCTTGCGCCCTTGGGCCCACCTGCAGGTGAGGTATCCCTGCCGTATTTACATATAGACCAAATTGCCCCTGACAGAAGGATAAGGCCACCGTAGCCATAGAGACCGATTCAGTTCCGCGTCACGAACCCTACCAGGCTCAACTCGGTCTAGACGGCGGTGGCTCTCCAGGTCGGCTTGGTCGTAGGCGGGCGGCGGCGGCTCTCGAGTCCGGCGCGGGCGAGGCAGGCGGCGGCGGCGGTCCGGCAGGCTGTCGCGGGCGCAGTTGGGCGGTGGCGGACACAGGAGGGCGGGAGCTACGGTGGGCACGGCGATGCAGTGACCCTCATGGCTGGGTCACCTGCACAGCCGTGCTCCTCCACGGGAGAGATGGAGGACGGCGGCAACAGGTATATTTTGGCCCTGCAGCCTCTACATTATTTGTGCTAGGATTTACTTGATCTGCCTCGATTTGTGCTAGGTGTGAGTTGTTTTCTCTAGTAGTAAAGATCGAAGGCTTCTGGTCGGCAGATTCTCAGGGTAGAAAAGCGTACAGGAAGGGCCGTGTGATTAAGCGCGTGGTTGAGTTTGGGTCATTAACATTAGACTCGTTGATGAACAGTCTTTCCATTGAACTGGAATCTGCTCCTAACCAGTCAGCCATAATTTCTTTCTTTGACAAAAGGCAGAATGAGGATGTCAATTTAATTGATAAAATTCAAATGCTTGACTTGTTTGACATGTACAAGGAGGGAATGGCTTGCCAGGTAGCAGTAAGGGTGGTTGAGTTGGCAGCAGTAGGAGATGATGTTGATTTAGAGGCTGATGATGTCGATGATGTTGAATTAGAGGCTGACTATCCAGTGGGAGATGATGTAGAGGTTGACAGAGAGCGTGATATGTTTGATAATGAGGAGTATGTCGGAATTGACGATGAGAACATCTATATTCCAGTGCCACCTAGTAACGCACAACCTTCTACTAATGCACAACTGAATGATAATGTACCCCCTTTTGATCATATTTTCGATGATGTTGCTACTGAAGGAGATATTCTTTTGGAGGAAGAGGTGAATGATGCTGATCCTCAAGAGATTAAAGTACTTCATGATCCTAAGAATCCCAATATTGTGAATGGAGGGTTGTTTCCTGACATCATATCATTCAAGAAAGCAATCAGGCATTATGCTGTGAAGAAAGGCTTCGAGTTTGCTCCTGGAGGCAAGTCAGACAAGACAAGATTCATTGCAAAGTGTGCTGCCACAGGTTGTCCTTGGCGCATACATGCTTCAAGATTGCATGATAATAAAACAATTCAGGTGACGTACTGATTTTGTTATTCATATTGGAGTACCTGATGTTTTTTCCATTATATTACTTGCTGATTTTGTTATTCATATCGGAGTACCTGATGTTTTTCCATTGTATTACTTGCTGATTTTGTTATTCATATTGGAGTACCTGATGTTTTGGGGGGCTATATTACTTGCTGATTTTGCAGATCAAAAAGCTACCTGCAGAGCACAAATGTCCTACTACTAAGCTGAGAGTAGGCAAAATGGCATCCCAGGGATGGTGTGCAGATAGGTTAGGTGATTGGTTAAAGAAGAATCCAAAGAAAGGATTAAAGGGTGTTCTGGATAAATTGGAGGGGGGCCATGGCATCAAGCTAAAGTATTCAAAGGCTTGGTCTGGTATGAAGGTAGCATTAGAGCAGATTCATGGTAAATATGAGGAGAGTTTTCAGTTGCTTTTCAACTGGGCTGCTCAAATACAGCAAAGATACCTCACCTGTAGGTGGGCCCAAGAGCACCAGATACGTCCATAATGGCAATCATCAGTGAGTTCAACAATTGTAATGGCAAATTTCCTATTAGATAAATTGTAATAGCAAATCTCCAAAACGTGAAAATTGTAATGGCTTTGAATCCAAATAACCCTAAAATGAAAACGTACAAGTAGGCGTAGCTCCCTAAATAGGCATCACCTGGAGCAAGGTCATAGTCTGATGATTTAAGGGTCATGACCACCACATCTCCGGCCCTGTTGTCCATAGAGAAGAAAACCGGAGTAAGAGAAAGGGTTATGAGGGAGAAGGGATAAAGGAGAGAGAAAAGTATGTATTAGGTGAGGAGAAAATTTCTTACAGGCCCATACAAGGAAACTATACGTTGGATGATAAGGTTTCTAAGGGAAGTTTCTTGTTGAGGTGGTAACTCGCCTTGTTCTGCAGCATGACTTTAGCAGTACTTTTCAGCGAACGAATAATATTTTCCTCTCCTAACATTTTAGCATAAGCCAAATTTCAACGAAACGAATAGGACCTAACTATGTATCAGTTTAGGGTTTTGACTACCCTCAATATGTTTATATGGTTATAAGAGGTGGAGAATATCTAACATTAGGGTTATATAAACCCTTAGATTAATATCATGATGACATAATTAACCCTCTTATCGATTCTCCTAATTGGCCTGTGGCTTGGGGGGCAACACCCAGCGCCCCCACTAGATCCCGAGTAGAGCCCGTGAGGTCTGAGCCTCCATCGCCCAAGGGCTCTGCCTGACCGAAAGATACTCGGCAAGCTGGCTCGGGCAGATGCCTCGGAGCTCTTGACAGGACCATGCCGCATACCAGGGGTCTGACACAGTGACACCTGATGAATATCGACATCATATATCCAAATTTGAGTATTTGGGTACAGATATTAAATCTACAGATTCAGAGACGATATTAAATGTATTATGGTTACTAAATCTTCGGTCAAACTGTCAGTTGAAAAATATTGATACCATTCACACCTCCAGCCCTACCTTTTGCTATTGCTAACCTCCTATGGATCCTCTCTGCTCATTGGGATCATCCAATACGGCTGGATCCTCTCTGCTCATTGGGATCATCCAATACGGCTCTCCCCACATCTGCTTAACTTGGCTGCCTCCGAGCCGACACTCCAGCGTCCCTCCCACTTCCGGCCTATTCAAGTGAAACTCTTCCACGTTGTGCACCACAATGCGGCGCCCTTGCGGGTCTTCCACCGGTGTAGCGCTAATCGTGTAGACGCAGTTCCTCTTTACCCCGCCGGCGGTGTCCTCGCCGCCTACGCCCACCGAGAAGCCATGGAGCCTGTCAACGAACAGCGCGCGGTCACCGATGTCGGTCACCTTTGACCACTCCGGTTTCGGTTTCTGGTGCCTGGCACGGTACACCTCGGAGAACAGCTCGCAATCCATGTCCCTTGCGCGGTGGACAAGCAAGAAGACGTCGTCCGTGGAGGCGACCAGGTGGATGCAGTCGACGGCGTCGTCGTCGTCGCCAGGCGGCGGCCAGATATCCGCGACCTTCTCGAGGGTCCTCGCGTCGATGACCGTGGTGACCAGAGTGCGCTGTTGGAGGACGAAGAAGAAGCCGCCACGGTAGTTCACGGTCATGCCCGACGCGGTTGTCGACCGGTACAGCGTCCTCCACTCGCCGCCACCGCCGCCCTCGCAGAAAAACACCGTGTCACCCCGCGCGATCATGACGCCGCGCGGGGACCGGTCCCACGCGAAGCCGTCGTCGGTGGGCGGCACCGCGCGGCGGCGGCCCTGCACGCGCGGCGCCTCGGGCTCGCACGCCGGTGACGGCTCCTTGTACCAGAGTGGGACGGGCAGGTCCGGGAGCGGCGCGGACTCGCCGGTGAACGGGTCGACGAGGCGGGACGGGTGCCTGAAAGATGTCAGGTCCGTGGTGAGCACCGCCCCGCCGTACGGGGACGGCACGACCCGGCACCCAGTGACCGGGCGCAGCCGGACGCCGTCGCGCATGCGGTCCTCGGCGAGGGAGAAGACCATGTAACCGTGCTGCGACGGGAACGCGACGCACGGGAGGGTCGTCTCCTTGTCCTCCGCCGGTGGATCGTCCAGCACCTCGTCGGCGGCGGCGGCGATACGTGAGATTGACGACGCGTAGGACGATGATAATGATTCGTTCTCGTTGTATCTATCGGGAGAGAGCATCAGGAGGGCAGAGCTGAAGCCAGCATAGTCGGAAAACCTACAAGCCTCTGCAAGCTCAACGTCGTGGTGCGGCGGCGCCATTATCGCCGATGGCGAGAATCCGCAGGCGAATCTGCTCAGCTTATCTGACAATCTTGCAAACATGCTGGGTGTCGTCGTCGCGTGCATATTGGCAGCCCAACTCGTGCTTGCCATGGCGGCCGCGTTGTAGGTTTCTTCACGTGAGGAAAGAGGGGATCATTGTTTGTCATAATAACATATCAGCTTGACTTTAAAGGAACCCAATTAGGATTGATCTGCATACTTTTGACGAACACAATCAGAACTACTACGGATTCGTTTCCGTCGCTGCTACATACATGTTCGTACATGACCCGGGCACCCGGCCGGTCTCATCGGGAACCGCAAGGTTAGGCTGGTGCAAAAATTTACTGTTTACGGCTGAAAGTTATTTTTCCCGGCTGATTTTCGGCTGATTTTCTCTCATAAATTTCTCCGAATTCATCCAGGGAAATCAGCCGTAAACAGTAACTTTCAGCCGTGAACAATATTTTTTTGCACTAGCCGAAGACTTGAATACGATGAATGCGTGTCCATCCGTCCGGACTAAGCCGATGGTGGGCCGTGACACAGCACAACGACCGCTCACCCACTCGCCGTCGGTCCCAACTGTTTAAAAAAGAAAGAAAACACTTTCTTATCCTTTCTGTTCCCTCCTCTCTTCACCACATCCCAATGCAGATACCACTTTGCCTCGCTGCTACCGCATGCCCCATCCGGCGCCGCTCGCTCGCTCCGTCACGAGTGCTTCTCGCCCCCTCTCGTCGCGCGTTGGTGCTGGTGGTGCTCGCTCCACCTGTCGCGCGCGTCGCCCGCCCAGCCGAGCCAAGAGCGGTGCTGGTGGCGGTGGTGCACGGGTGCGCCACTGGTGCTAGTGTGCCCGCCCGACCGAGCCAAGCCCACTGCTGGTGGCGGTGGTGCTTGTGCGCCGACGCTCGCTGCCGGCTCCGATCCTGGCGGCTAGAATCGATCGGTCCCGGCCTTACCCTCCCCTATGTTGCATATGTATGTTTTAATTGTTTCAGACATTTCAGATGGTGTTGCAATTGTTCTATTTTGATGTTGCAAAGGTAGATCGAGGATGTTGCATATGTGGCACATGTTGCGAGCGTTACAGATGCATGTTGCAAGTGTTTATTCAAAATATTTCATCTATTTTCAGACACATTTTGCAATCGTTTTTTATCTAGATGTTGCATATGTTTTACACATATGTTGCAACAGTATGTTCCAAACTGTTTCGGTTGTTTCAGTCTTATGTTGCAGCAAGTGATTTCATGTTGCAAGTTGCAAGTGTTATTTTTTTTGGATGTTTCATGTGTTCTACACATGTTGCAAGTACATGTTCTAAGTGTTTTATTTTTTTCAAACGTATGTTGCATTAAAAAAATTTATGTTGCAAGTGTTTTATGTTGTTCGACCGGGGGGCAGGAGGATGGTGTGCTGTGGCATCTGGGGGGGTGAGGGGGGTTTGCAGACGGAGCGTTGGGGCGGGCAGATGTGTGCTCCGGTCGGGGCACGCCGGGTCCCAGCTCTCGAGTGCCGTCCGCGCGGAGAGAGAGGAGCAGGTCTGGGGAATGACCGGCGGGCGTAGATACGGGGACGGAGTACGCGCGTGGGACGGGACGAATCCGAACGACCGAGCGCTAGCCATGCTGTTAGATAATCATGTGTCTCCTAAAGTATAGGAAAAAATATACAATTATGTGGCTCCTGCCTAGCTACGAGAACAGAGTCAATCCAATCACTTTGTACGGAAGTGTTAAAAACAAGAGTACACAATGGCTTTTAGGGCAAAAAAAAATGCGTTTGCTTATTTGGAAAAACAGGAGTACGTTATAAATTAATCAATCCGTTTGCTCATTTGGAGGAAAAAAAAACAATGGTTTTTAGGGCAAAAAAATGCCGTGTGGATACATGAACATTGTGCGGATTATTTATGGAACAATAAAATACGTGCACACCCAAAAAAAGAAACAAGAAAAATTGGATATACAAGGTCTAGAACAAGGAACAGGAACTGTGCTAGGAATAGGAACTGCCCAAGGAAGACAACGGCCCAAGATACTGATGAAGGAGATGACAGTGAAGACCAAGATCAGCATGTAAAATCTGATTCAGCAACAACGGCTCAAGATATTGATGAAGGAGATGAAGTGAGAACCAAGATCAGCATGTAGAATCTTGTTCAGCAACAGCAACTGAGGAAGATGGAAAATCTGTACATACTACGGATGGAGCTTTCATTTGAATGATGATTTGCTTAATTAGTTAATTTGAAGAATCTATTGCCTGCTTGATTTGCTTAATTATCTGGTTTGACTATACGATTTGTAAACATGGCTAAAAATAACAAGAGCACCAGACCCCAGCTCAGCAAAAAGGCTACAACGTGTATAGGGTGGCTATCATCCACTAGATTATTATATCTGAACCAAATCAAGGACAGATGCACGCATACACCTATATGTCTTCCAAGACTAAAACATCACTAACTTCTATTGGGAAGTTGAGATTGAATTTGCCAAGCATCAAGGATACTCTGCAGGCCAGATCTATAAGTTGGATGAAGCAGATTAACACCAAGTTCCTGCTTCATCCGAGCATTAGAAACCCGTTTCTCTGCAGGTACAATTATCTCTTGATAATCTAAGCCTGTAGACTTGGCATCAATGGTTTCAGTTATCAGATCAAGATATCTCCCCTGTATCAAACTCCTAGCAAACGCAAAAACTTCAGCTCTTGGGGCAGGGTCGTCATCCACCACATTAAATATTTTCCTGGAATAGAATTATAAACATGAGAAGTGAATCATTAGCAAACAAGATATTTCAGATTTCACTAGGTCGCTACGAAAGAACCAAACATGACTAAAAACTAGAGTATCAAGTGTACATGGGTTTGGAATTGAAGTTTTTAATATTTGAATAGTGTATGATCAGAATATCAAACGTGCAAATATTGCATCTAGTAGAGGTACTAAACATGGTACTCCCTTCGTTCCAAATTATTAGTTCTGGCTCTCTAGATAGGTTTTGCTACATATCTAAATATATATTATGCCTAGATACATAATAAAAATTATGTATCTAGAAAAGTCAGAACGACTTATAGTTTGGAATGGAGGGAGTACCATTCAAAGTCTCATAGCACAAAATGCGAAATTCCCACCCTACTTGTTACCCTAAGAAACTTCATGATGCATGATATAATTATGTTGGTTAATTGGTAAGTAAGATGTCTTCTAGAGAAAACAGAGATACAGTTGAAATATCTTGGTTGTGCATTTCCACAAGCAACGTGGCACAGGAATTAAGACTGAAATATTGTTGGATATCACAAACTGAAGTGACATCAATGCATCCGGAAAGGAAACCTTGCACATCTGATGCTCATGCTAGCCAAGACAGCCTGGTAGATGTCAGCCACGTGGATTCGTGCAGTATACTGCTTAGATTCTCGCAACTTTTGTCTCTGTGACAAAGATTTGCCCTTGGCTAAGGTGTCCAAAGCACTGCAGTAAACAGGGTCTAGTCATTGGAATATCAGAAAAGAACTATGAAACAAAGGATTTCACAAAACAGTCATCAAGGTACTACAACAGTCTCCAATAATATATTCTTCATGTCAAAATCTATTCTATTATTTGGCCTGGCATTATAGATATGTTTCAGTTTTCATAAGCTTTACACAGTGCTACTAATCAGCATGCCAACAAATGTTCCATTTTTGGTCAAGCTGAATTAGTAGAAATTAAAATGGTGAAATGGAATGAAATTTCAGCAGGTCAAAACCTTCTTCCAGGCCCATATATTCCACCTAAACGGAATATAAAAGCGGACAGATTTGGATCATCAATAAGATTCAGCCATCCTTTTTCTGCGTTATATCTTAACTTGGCAGACTCGCTCTTTGGGTTTACTGTATGACTGCATGCACAGCAGTGTATTTAGCTTTCTATTAAAATGTACTTCATGGACAAGAAAAGAACCAATAAGTCCCTTACTCCTCGTCAACCAATACACCGCCACAATCACCATACACACCTGAAAGTAAGAAAGTGTCACAAAGTAGCTTTCTAAGGAAAATCTCTTATATGGTGACCTGCACACAGCATGATTTGTTATTACCCTTGACTCAGCTTCAATGTTTGACAACTTCAAATTAAGTGCATGACAAGAGAAAAAGAAATATATGCATCGAGTAATGCGTCAACTGCAATAGCTGCCCTGTGCAAATCACCCACAGATCTCCAAATGCAGTGCTAGCCACAAAACGCTTGTAAATTAGTAAATATACTTCACGCCAGTTTGTTGTATAGTTAATGGCTAACATGATACTACCTCCGTCCACAGTCTCCATCGTGCAAGCCTTGCGCCCAAAGACCAAGAAGCACCATTGGCCCACGACCTTTACAATTAAACCGAGTAAATTGCTTTGATCCTATTAATGTGCATGCGGCGCTTGGTTTAGACGGTGTGCATGCGGCGTTTGGTTTAGATGGTGCGCATGCGATGCTTGGTGGAAAGACAGGATGGGAGCGCGTGGGATATAGACGGTGCGTGACGGAGCCGGAATAAAAGGAAACGGGAAGGCAGCGTAATTACGTCTCACGTTCCATCCGAGGCGCCGCACGCACGGGAAATGGAGCCGTAATACGCAGATGACGGAGACTATTGGAAAAAAAAGTTTTTGCTTAAACGACAGAGACTGATGGACGGAGGGAGTATAAGCAGAAGAATGGAAGAAGCACTCTGCTCAATTTGATGTTACTCCACATATAATATGTTGGCAACTAAATAAGATTTATATGAGGTGTCTATCCCCATGTTTGGATGTTTGGGTGTATTAGATAGTGAAATTTCAAGTCTCTGCATCACAACTGCTTAGAGAAGATATTTGTTTTTCTTCCCCGCTATTTGAGCCTGCTAGTTTTCATAGGAAACATCAATTTCTAATGATACTGCAAGAATAAGAACCCCCCTCCCCCTCAGGATTTGGGTTCAACTCCCTATGGGAGCGAATTTAAAAAGGCCTGGGTTAAAATACACCCCTCAGTAGTTGTGTTCTGAGTTATACGATAAACATTTGAATCAGTTTTAGCGAGATACACATGTCCGCAGCACATCCAGGGC